ACCTCTTGACATGTCTGCTAGTTCAGTTAACCATGCAGAAGGCCATATTGTTTGCAATATACAGGGCTCCAAAAGGAACCAACACCACAAAGACAGTCAAGCAAGCCTCTTTGGCATTGACATGTCAATCAAAGTTGCCGTACCCCTAATAATGCCTGTCTTTAATCCTTAATCAGATTTAAATGAGGTGGCAGCATCTTGTGGCATTTTAGAGCTTCACCCATTTTTAGCACCTCAGTACTGGCTTCACTGTTTCAGTCCAAGAAGAGGAAGGACCACATGCTTTTAAGTTTTTTAGTTTAGTTTTTTTGTTCTTTGTGTTTTTTTACTTTGGCATGGGAAGTGCAGGGATTTCGATTAGTCCGAGCACTAACTTGTCACCAAATAAAATGAATGGTAATATTTTTAATCGCTGGAGATGGAGAGCTTCCACCTCACAAGAAGTGTAGATATAAATATCTGCAATAAAGCTTCTTACTTAGGCAAAGTACTATCATTTTAAATAACATCTCAAACCCACAGGGAGTGTAGGGCTGTAGTTTATTGGGCCGAACATTGGTGATGATGTTTGTGCTTATTATTCTGTCTTGCATGTGCACCTCAGTGCTGATCTCCATACACTCTTATGAGCCCACAGCAAAGAAGGATTGCTTATTGAAAATATTTATTTTATATATATTCCCATCCACAGATGGCGTCAAAGCTCAGCTGGCGGCTGATGAAAACCTGTGTCGCATCTGCATGGATGCCATCATCGACTGTGTGTTACTGGAATGTGGTCACATGGTAACTTGCACCAAATGCGGAAAGAGGATGAGCGAGTGCCCCATCTGCAGGCAGTATGTTGTGCGGGCCGTGCATGTCTTCAAGTCTTAAAACTCAGTGTGAGCGTGGGTGAGTGGGTGAATGTCGGCGCGGCTCTCAGGCGTGGCCCGAGCCCTGAATTTATCACTGAGAATGAACTGCTGTGCATGACGTCTCACAGGGCCTAATGCTGCAGCAGGCGTGAGCAACTTCTCGGTCTTAAAAACCACTGTTGTCTCTGGCCTACCACGGTTTGCCCCCCCTGCCCTCCTTACTAACTTATGTTCCAGTCCCCCTTTCTCCACCCTGGTGGACCGGCATCGGCTGCATCGGGACTTTCATTTTCTCTGTCTTTGGCCGTAAAACACACAGCAGAAGCCCCTGCCATCACGTTGTACTCGCCAGTGTCTGTTTAGATTCGACCCACAAGAGAGGAGTGGGCAGGAGGTGGTCCTGCGGGTACTTGAAGTGGACCGCCTTGTTATTTGTGCGGAAGAGAAGCAGTTAAAATATAAGATCCCAGGGTTTGAGTCAGTATGGTTTACACAGTCATGCCACATGGCATTGTGTCATTCTCCTTCAGTGTTGTTTTGTTTGATTCTTTGTTTCTTTTTAGGATGTGCAATATCAGAAAAAAATAAAAAAGTAAAAAATAAAAAAGAGAAGTGTTCTTAGAAAATATTTATTATGCACCAGGTCATCTCACACAGGAGCATGTAGGGTGCCAAAAAAAATCATGCCTTGAGTTGATATTTGGTTAAGTTTCACAGTATATGCATCACATAACCAGCGAGCTTGGTGTGATACCTTATTCTTATTTTTCCATTTACTCAAATGAACTTTGGGGAAACAGAATGTGTACACGTGAGCCGGTTAACACTTACTGTGTGAAGGATCGTTTCTCCGTTGTCTCATCCAAGACTCCTGCAGTTTGCCGGTTGGTTAAGTCACAGTGTACATTCCTGCTAGATCTACTGTGCGAATGTTTATTAAGACAACGACAACAAAATGAACTCAAGGCCCACTTTCAAGCTTGTTGTAGAGCTTTTTGCTGCATTTTACAGTCTCTGTAATGTGATCGTTCATTGATTTGCCATTGACATGTTCCTTGATGTCACATGACTTAAGGTGGGAGATCATGTGAAAGGCTTCCTTCTTCTCCTGTGTACATTTTATTTCCCCACGTCCTTTCTCCTACTGGTCCATTCCTCCTCACAGTCATCGTTAAATGTACCTTAGGAGCTAAACTGATTTATAAATATCACACGTCCACCAGTGATTATAGACAGGATGCACGTGAGACAGTTTTATTCCATCATCTTACAGTAACTCTAACACAGTGGAATATAAGTTCACTGCAAAATTGTGTTGCAGTTGTTACCAACTACGTTTCCTGATACAAAAAAGCAGAAGAGATAACATATCACTTGTCCATGAAGGACTTAAAAGATGATTAAATCAACAACTGTAACACAACTATAAATGCACAACTACGTTAATCAGTTTAAGTCTTCTCGCATTTTACCAGCTTCTAAGGGAATATTTCTGTGGACAGTAGAACCAGTCGGGCTGACAAATGATCCTGCTGTGCAGCATATCATAAATAAGTGATGTTGCCTAATAGGACTGACACTATGGAAGCAAGAGTTTCTCATTTGGCAGCTTCTGTACTCAAATCTCTCTCCCATCTTTGCCGGGAGGAGCTAAGAGGTGAGGACGACACAGGAGCGAATGACGTGAGCAGCTTCATTTAATGAAAACATACCCATGACATGCTGCTGGACGTCCCAGTAGGAGGCACTAAGTGGACCTTGAGTTTAGCCCCTGTATTTATCTACATTTTAAAGTTGGTTTAGTCTTCTATAGCTTTCACCAAGCAATACCGTTTCATTTCCAAATTGATCACGTCTTTGTGTCATCCTTTTTAATGTCAGATCGTGGGAAGGTAACAGGTGCTACTCCTCTTTTTTTGTTTTTTGAGTGAAACTTCCTTACGCAGACGTTTTGCCACGTCGTTTCCAAATATCCATCACACAGTAAGAGGCAGCCTGATTTACTTTAACCTGTTATGCAAATAAAACATTTTGTTCTTGTCACGAGATCCAGTTAACTCGGATGTCACTGAAGTATCTGTGTGTACAGTATGCCTGTGGTAAATAAAATAACTGCAATTTAATCGCTGTTAAGTAAATTGCATAGATAGCTTTTATTGTTGTTTACTGATACTTTATTAAATGTATATTTTTCCATTTACCTTGGAGTTGACATGATTAAAAATTCTAATCATTACAAAGGTTTAAAAAAAAAAAAAAAGAATTTACTGTTTTTCAGAATGTATTTCTGCTGGTTATGGTCACATGAGTTCGATCATGTCTCTCACTATTAAAGTTGCATCATAGTCTTGCTTTCTACAACCTTTCTGTTGTCTTCTGCTTCCAGTTCACTCGCACCATGCGATGTAGCAGTCGCTGTTACTCTGTCAGTTTGTTGTTGCTGCTGTCTCTCAAAGATGTCACTCACGGGCAGCTAAGGTATTATCAGAGTGAGAGCACATCATAAGCACTCGTAATCCTGGATCTTTATATTTTTGACTGTTCAACCTTTTTATTTTGGTAATCAAGATATTAAAAAAGGGATTTATTAGATTCAATAAAATGCAGTACTACAAACCAGAATGTAAAACCCTGCTTTTCATTTTATAAAACTGTGATATTCTCACTGATTGATATACTGTTTAAAAGTCTTGAGCCAATCCATGACTGATCGTGTTTTTCTATCCAAGTATGCTTTTACTGCATTGGTGGTGTGTTTGGGATCATTACAATACAAAAAAAATTAAGTTAATCAGACACTTTCCAGATAGTATTGCAGCTATAGTGTCAATGGTTTGGGAATCATCCTGTTGAAGTAAAAATACATTTGTATGCCTGTCAAACTGTGTTATCTTGGATTTTTATCCAAGAAATGGGAACAAATGATGGAAAAAAGAAACTTCTGAGAAAATGGTTACAGAGTAGGACTGGACTCAAAATTACTGAAAAAGTAAAGTAAAATTGTATTTTACAGCAGCTTTTAAGAAAAAGATAAGTCCCTCAGAAAAAAGGAAATCATTACCTAAATGCAAATCTAGAAAGTTTTTAGTTGCTCCCTAAAAGAGTCCACAGATTTCAAGTTTAGAAGGAAAGTGTTCCAGAGTCTGGGGGCCATGGTGGGAAAATCCTTGCCACCATGTCTCCTTTAGTTTTCAGGCTTGTATGATGTACAGTAAGCCCTGATTGACCAGACCTCGGGGACCTGCTGGGGATGTATGGCTGTAAAAGGTCACTGATGTAAGCTGGTCCTTGTTCATGAAGAGCTGTAAAAGTCAGAACCAGAATCTTGAAATGGACTCTTAATTTAATGGGGAGCCACTGCATTTGGATCAGCAACATAAACTAGGCATAAATCTCTCAGGATTCACAAAAAGGGGCTTCGTTCAGACAGATGATGCGAACCACTCCAGAGCAGATCCAGATATACTCACCCAATATTTTAGCCTATAAAACAAAATGTGGTGGTGAGCAGTATCAAAAGCAGAGATCAGGTCCAATATTAGCAGACCAGAACAGTCTCCTGCCTCAGTCGGCATCAAAATCTCACTGGACACTAAGAAATGCAGTTTCAGTAGAATGAGCTCTAGAAAACCAGATTGAAATTTGCCATGTAAACTGTATTTGTCCAAGTAAGCTGCTTAGCCACAGCCTTTTCTAAAATCTTAGCAATAAATGACATTTTAAAATTGGTCTCTAATTGCTAAGAAGAGACGGGTCAAGCTTGTTTTTTGTTTTATAAATGGATGGATGACAGTGTTCTTAAAATAAGCAGGGACTTGACCAGAGAACAGCGAGGTGCTGATTATAGTGAGCACAGAGGGACCAATAGAGTTAAAGTCGACTTTTCCAAAATCAAACTTTGAAAGACCTCCAGAAACCTGGGAGAAATATTGCTCAAGACCACTTTTAAAATTCTCAATAAAGTCTGGCTCGTTATAAGTAAAATATAAAGAAATGAGGGGTGGCTCAAGAGTTTTGCACAGGACTGTATAGGAGCAAGCGTGTGGTAAATATTCACTTGTGAAACACAGAGGTAAATCTAACATGACCAGCTTTCCAGAATAAGATACAAACCTGTTACTGATTGAAACTCACACACTCATCAGTATTTAAAATGAATTTAATATCTCAAAGGTCGACTCTGAAGAGGCTTTGCGTGTACATTATGTACAGATAAATAGATCTGAAGTAATGTACTAAAATATTTCATGGAGACACGGCCTTTTAATAAAAACATAAAATTTTAAATGTAAACCCATCCACTGAACTGTATGGACTGGAGTGCTATTCAAAAATTACGCAAAAGACTTCATTTTAGAAAAATCTGGAGTTTTAAAGAGGAAAACAAAATTCTATTAATCACTAAACTCATGAGTCAGTCAAAACTTCCAACAACTTCTGAATGTCTTAATACAATTATAAAGAGTATAGGTGCACAGTAAGAACATTGCTTATGAATTTGAAACTTTATCACTGAATGACAGGTCACAATGTACTTACATCAGAAGATCAACTCAAAATATCATAAAAAAAATAAAAAATAAACCAGTGTTAATGTGTTTTCTTTTGTTTTCAGTGAACCTTCTGGCTAACAAAGAAAAAAAAAAGCCTTTTTTTTACTTTTATATTTTACAGACATCTTTCATACAACCCTCTGCTGACCTTTTCACTTTTCTCCTATACTGGATACAGTGTATTTGGTCTCATGCTGAGTTTCTGGTGAAGGCCTCACATTTTGAGATTGGAATGGCTTCACTGTTATTGGTTTCACTTGTTTTCTCAATGTTGTTGTCAATTTCCTTGGAACATGACACTTTAGGCATATAAAGCCCAAAATAAGAGCGATTTACAAAGTAGAGACACTCAGCTGCATTTTTCATTTGTATGTCTGATCCTCTTTTCTAAATTTAAACCTTATGGGCTTTACAGATTCTTTACTTCTTGCATGATTCAGCACACAGTCTCTTCTTTATGGTAACGTGGAGTTCAGCTGGAGTAAACATGGTTATATCGTTTAACTGTTACTAACTCTACTGACAGTGGTGTAAACATGTCTGCATGCAGAGCTAAAACGCTTCCTTCCACAAAGCACCGGGAATACTAAAGAGTAATGGAGATGTTTTTAATCTTATAATAGCCCAGTTACCTACAAGCTGTTAGTAAAATTAGCAGAACGTTTTAGTGTTTAAAAAATATGCTTTATACACTGTACACTGTATAGTGTATGTAAGAATACATTCATGTATTCGTATTGACCGCATCAGTGCAAATAACTAGATATTTCATCCAAACGGACATGGAAAACAAAATATACAGTACCTTTATCTAAAAGGAAGCAGAACTCTGGCATATACAATAATAAAATATAAAAACACCCACACAAACAAAAACTACCATCCTACAAGTCTGGCAACAAATCGTTAGACCTTTGTCTCTCAACAATAAAAAGCTTAACAGTAATGCCAACTAATAATCGCTTTCAGTGCTGTGATACTGTACAGTGGTGCATTTAATAAAAGCTACTTTTAGCCACTCCCTTATTGGAAAGGGGTCACCACAGCGGGTAGCTCCGCGTGTTTTAATTTGGCTGTTGTTTTTCTTTTTTTATGTCCGAATGCCCTTCCTGACGCAGTCCTCAAAGGGATTCGTGTCTCCTCCCTCCCCGGATACTGGGGGTTCCTTCGCTTATTAGGCGAATTTGAAAACCACTACAGTATGGAGCCACTACAGTGGTCCATTTAATACTGCACATAAATGTATGAAACACTTTCTGATACAAAAATATTCTTCTATAATGCAATAAACTTTGCATTGAAACAAAAAATAGTCTATAAACACCAAAAAGATAACCAGGATACAATACATAAAACAATCAATATAAAGAATAAATAACGTATAAACAGGTGTGACAACAAAAACGTATATATATACACATATATATATATATATATCCATTACTGGACCATTTTTACATTCTTGCTTAGCAGCGCAAACTCCCTTTATATCAGTTTTCCAGGAGTCCTTCACGCTCTCTCACACACAAGTAAGCAGTCTTCTGCTGCCTCCATGTGGACGGCACTTTTACTACTTGTGAAAAAAAAAAAAAATCACACAAGAGTTGTCCGTGTGCCTAACTGATCTTCTGCAGCAGTTTATCCTCAATGAGTTCAAACTGCACACTGACGGACATTTCGGCGATGAACTGGTCACATCCTTCCTTGGTCACCTGTTTGCAGTATCGCAGGTCGATATGGCAAATGCTTCCACAGCGCTTGAAATAGGTCAGCGACTGGTCTGTGACCCTGTTACAGACTGCAGGGAGAAATTGGGTTGGAAAAAAAATTAAATGGTGTATAACAGGTCACCTGCGCTGAAACAGACTCTGCACATGAATGGATTAATCAGCCTTTTGGGACAGGAGCTCAAACGGTCTCGGTATGGTGAGGTTTCTAAAATGGCCCTTTGATTTACTGCGTTAAACATTTAATAATATTCTTGGAGGAAAAGTATTGAGTTATTTTTATCAGTTCTGCACAGGCCACTGAACAAGATTTCCTCTCCAAAATTACAGTACTGTGCAAAAGTCTTGACTCACCCCTTATTTCTTTATGCTTTGGATCCAATGAGCCAGATTTTCTAGATAGGCTAGAAAGCAATAGGCTTTGTGAAGTCATTTCAACATTTTTCGTACAGACTGGCTGCTTTTCACTATTTTCCAGTCCAGTCCTTGTACCTGACATTTTCAGAGTAATGTTTTTGTTTGTCTGTTTGTTTGTTAAGCCAAAGCCACTTAAGACTGACCTATGAATCATTTAAGAACCAAAAAGGTACCTAAGTCTAGGGATAAACCAGTATTGTGTCAACACATAACAGAAAGCTTGGCAAAAAAAGAAATTAAAAAAATTTACTAGTAGCCAGTCAGCTCTGCCTGGTGCGCAATGCAAAACTAAACAAGCACAGGACCAAAGAAGAAGTGGCAGGGCTACAAAAATCTATCTACAACCGATAAACAGTATCTGAAAGCTGGGTCCTGAAGAACTAGGAAAACATCCAAAGACTGAACACAGGACCTGAGACATGCATCTGGCCCCTCAGTTGATCCATCTACTGTTCACTGAAGCCTACTTTGCGGTCTACAAACATCAAGTCATAATCAGTCTCAATCTCTCACTCTGTTTTTGCCGTATATGCTGTACTTCAGTGTATATTTGCACAATTTTTAATAAACTTCTGCACCTAATTTCAACATATAAAGGAATGAGGGGTGATGGGAGTTATTTGCACAGTACTATAACTGCATTATTTATTAATATTGGACCTAAGTTTTCTAAAGCACGGTGTTGCTAGTGGGGCTAAATATCAAGCTGTTTTATACATTCACTGGGATTATCTACAGGGGACAGAGGTGATAATTCAGTATTCAGGTCTAATACATTTTGATTTCAGCCACAAGTCAGTGCAATGAGTCTAATCCAGGCAGATTTAGAGCCTACAAAGACAGACTCATACCTGACAGATTGATGTCAGTGAGTGAGTCTCTGGTGGTTGTCCCCGCAGCAGTCAGGATGTTAACCGACTGGTCAGTAACGTGGTTGCAGTAGCTGAGGTCCAGCTTAGATAAGAGGGGCATGTAACGAATGATGAGGCGCAGAGACGTGTCGGTGATGTCCAACCCTGCCAGACGCAGGTCCTCTACGTTACGCAGTTTACTCCTGTTGTCCAACTGACCTACAAAATATGTAAAAACACAGGGGAGGAGATTACCAGAGGGATTAAGTAAAGAGAGATGATTCATGGTATATAGTTAATGAGCATAGAAAAGAAACAAATCCCCCAACAGTGAAGTAATCCTACTAACAACTGCTGTCTCTGGATCTAAAGCCTGACATAACTCATCTCTCTGCCACAAAGCTGCATTGTTGTCTACAAACAACATTAAAGGCACACATCGCACATCTGGGTGACATGTTCCTGCAACATGGCTGCTTTAGCCAAGACTCCAATTTTGCATTCATTCATGGCTAATAATTCTGCATTCAACAAAAAATACACCAGTTACAGCAATTTGCTAAATTGGAGAGGCCAGACTTTTTAAATTTATGCAGGTCTTCAATAGGAACCAGTGGGTTGGCTCTCCGTCAGAGTTACAGACCAGGTAAGGAAGTGGCCAATTATTGATAGACTGATTAATTTGATGTTTTATTTTGGTTAGTTATCAGAATTTGTTGACACAGAGCTCCTTTCATTCATTTCTGATACTACGCAAGGTCTCAATTTGGTTTAGGTCAGGATGCTGCCTGGACGGACCATGCAGGACCACTTTAAAGTCAAACAATGAATTGATCTGTCTTCACATGGGTTCAGTAAGATATCAGACAAACTAAGAACTACTGAGCAGGGAGAGTAAAGTATGTTTAAAATCCTGCCCGAGTCAGTATTTATAGTGTACACATTATTTATGATAAAGGCAATTTACACTACTCTTGCTCAATCGCAGTCTTACTTTTTACTCTTCTTTAACTTTGCCTCATTTTGTATTTTTATTGGGGGGGGGGTTCAAAGTCACTGTTGTATGCAGATTTTGCACACATCCATCACACAGTAAAGGCCCTTCACTATGCACCTAAAACATTTTAACTTAAAATGTTGGTGCATTGGTGCATTAATCTATGCACCAATCAATCTACTTTTTCTATCTATTATCGCCAAACACCTCCACTTTGGTCTCAAAGTCTTGTGGTTTCCGCAGATGCAAACCTAAGCCTCTTTTTTAGAGAGAAGATACGTTCCCCTGGCAACCCTTTCAAAGAAGTCATACTTGTTCAGTCTTTTTTCCAAATTTGCCGTCACGAGCTTTGACATGCAAAAATGCTAACAGAGACTTATAGACTCTGAGCTCTTGGGTGTTTTGCAGTTTCTCTGCACATTGCACAGTCTGACTTTGGGGAGAATTTGCTGGGACATCCATTTTGCCACTGAGGTGCTCACACTTGCTGATGATCACTTAATCAAGTGCTTTTTTTTTTAGCAGCACCTGGCTGCTACTGACCTTCTTAATCCCTATGAAAGCTGTAACAGTGTATTTGGCTTTCACAGGACTCTATGCAGTCCTGTGAAGATGTTCTTTTTCAGGACAGAGGGAAATCTTTTCCACAAACAGGAAAAAAGGGAAAATTCATGTAGTTGAACATGAATCGGTAGATTAGAGCTTGTGATAGAACTGCCATTTGACTGTGGAGGCTTTTTAAAAACAGTTTTAACAGGTTGAGATAAATTCAGGGGAAGGGCATGTGTGAAAACAGCTCTCAAAGATATTTAGTTTAGTACATAAACTTCATCTGAACTTATATTTAGATGAATTTGTATTCTACCACTGTAAAACGGAGTGACTTGAAGTATAGTGATTCAGAAAAGAAAACACAGACAGAGTCACTATACCAACAATCTCCTTTCCCCCCTCTGTAATCAAGCTCTCTCACTCAGTCAATAATGTTGTCCTGGTGTTTGACAGAAAAACGGTTGGTACCTGGCCTATTATCTGTGGGAGGCGACAGCAAGTCTCTCATCTGAGCGTCTTTCAGTCCCTCGACCCACTGAACATCCAGAGTTCGCAGGAGAGGACAGCTGGAGGTGCAGAGAGCAGAGACGGCTACCCATGAGCATCCAGAGAGAAGCAGCACACGTAGACCTGCAGGGACACAAAAAACCTTGTTGTAGACAGTTCTTAAAGTTTGGTTTGGCGTTTGATTTCATGTGGACAAATGCAACAATGTGGCATTTGCTTCTTAGTTTTCTGTCTCAGATGTAGTATTCTTGGTGTAGCAAAGAAAAAAAACATCCTCTACAAATGTCAGCACAGAAAAATTACATTTAATCAAATACTCCCCCCCCCAAAAAAAATAAAAATAAATAAATAAATAAAATAAAACGCACATAATGAATGGATTTGAATTAGAAATTCCCTAGAAGATTGAACAGTGACATACCATCCACACAGAGAGGCTGAGCTGTGCTCCGATACAGTATTATACATTATAATGTATACAGCTGCTGGCAATGACCACAGGGTGAATCAATGCACCCTCGTGGCTACTCAGGTGTAAGTAAAACCTGTTCACACCACTCTTCCAGAAACCTTATGAGCTGCAGCGACGACTGTGGCTGCAATTTGGGCTGTGTCTGGAAAGGTTTAACACCAACTACGTGCACTGGTTGCATTACATTTATGTTGCAGTATTTCTGAACTCTTGGAATGCTAAAACATACTAACACGTGAGCTACATAAGGACCACAGATCTAAATAATTTTATTACCACAGAATCAGCCATAAACTCCAAACCACAACCACATTTACCTCCACAACCAGGCAGAGCAGCTGCAGCAGAGCTAACAGGCATTAGCTCCACACTGCAGCCACTCTGCCTGTTGAAACATCCTTTCAATAGACTGCAAATATCCTCTAACAGTACAGCATAAGCCTCAAGAGAAAAGGAAAAATGATTCTGAATGATTCCCAAAAGTAGTTTGAAAATATTTTCCAACATGTGACCATTAGGGGGCTCTGTAACATGATTAGCTCACTACATTTGGTTTTGCAGTGAGACAAACGTGCTGACCCCCCCAAAAAATTACATAACATTGCCGTATATCTGGTTTATTTGCCACAATTATGGCCAAAGGGTGGTAAAACTGTTTTGCAGCGAGTCTCTTCCTTTTCACGACTAAGCTAAGAGTGAAGACGTAAGCTTGGAAAATAAGGACAATTACAAATTGTCAGTCCTCAAAATGGACTGACACTACATAATGAGTTAGTCTCACTACATAATGAGTGAGATTAACTAGTTTTAAAAATGTCTCTTTCTAAAGCCCGTCAGACCAACTCCCTAAATTGTGTCATGTTCCCGGTGTTAATAAACAGATAAAGACACAAAACTGCCACATAAAATCCTTCATCATTACCTGTACATGTCACTAAGGCTGTTTCATACAGACACAAACACACCTGTGTATTGCTGGGTGGATTTACTTACCTGGAAGTCTGTTGATGAGCCAGCTGAGCTGCTTCTTGGAAATGTTGGTCCAACTGAGGTCTAGGGCTACCGGCTGTCTGCGGATGATCCCACTCAGCATCAGGGGAGTGATGGACTTGCAGCGGTTCAGATTGATGTGCTTCCAGAGCCTTTTGTCACAGCACCTGATGAGAGAGACAGCGGACGTTTTCGCTGGACTGCTGTGTGATGAAGTGCAGAAGGCACGTTTTTCATCTCCATCTTTCTACTCACCATCTGTTCCAGGTCCGGCAGACACGCATGCAGACGCAGAGATCTCTGTGACTGAGGTGACCGAACACCATCATCCAAGTCTCTCGCTGCATCACATGCGCTTCGCCGTCGTTCAGGGGCAGTCTGTCGGGCGGGGGGCTGATGGGAGGGGGCCGGATCACGTGGCGCTCCATTTGGATACACTTCGGTGGCGACCGGCAGGGAAGCGGTCGAGGGCATATTGGTGCGATCGGTGTGTTTCTGTTCCAACTGAGCGGCGAGTAGCCACGCGGCATCCCGTTCATCTCCCGCCCCCGGTGTCGCAGCCAGTCGCCCAGGTCGCTGCTGCCATTATTAAGAGGCCACCTGGGCTTCTGTTCGTCCACTTCACTCTCGGGCTCAGATTTCACTGGCCTTTGATTCTGATTGGTCAAGCTGTCTTCTGTTTTCAGCGGCAGTCTGTTTTGATTGTTTACGCCTTCTTCCATTTTAAGGGCTTTACGACTCGGATTAGCAGGTGGGTCCTCAGTTTTCAATGGTTTTCGGTTCTGATTGGTCAGGGAGTCTTCGGTCTTAAGTGGTCGACGATTGAGGTTGGCTGGGCTGTCCTCCTCCTTCTTCACTGAGCCCAGCTTCTGGCTGCTCAGACAGTCTTCTATCTTCGGAGTCTCCTGGCTGAACTCTTTGCTCGCCTCCTTGTTGGGGAGCCGCTTACGCTGATGTCGTGCTTTAAGCTGAGCGGAGCTTCTCTCTTGGGCTTCTCCCGACTCACCGCTTGGTCCCGCTCTGGGAGAGTTAGAGGATGTCTGGTCACTTTCTCTGGCTGCAGACGTTCTCAGCAGCGGGCTTAGAAGGACCTTAGCTTTGTCCTCTGCATTATTGTCCCTCTCTTTTTTCACCGTCACCTCTTCCTCAGCGTCCCCATCTTGGTCCTCATCGTCATACTCATTTTTCTCCCTTAAATGCATCCTCTCCAAGGACAGCCCATCTTCTTCATGATCCTCCTGGTCGTCTTCTTCATCACCGTGATCATTCTCTCTCTTAATATGCTGAAGCAGCTTCGAAGGAAATGAATCATCCGGTTTTGAAAGCTTCTTCTAAGAAAGAAAAGAGGGAGCGTAATTATGTTTTGAAAGCAGACAGAATTATCAGCTTTTCCACATAAAAATCAGGACTTTCAATTAAGTTCTTGTTTCTTTGACATATTTTAAATATATTCGAGTTTTTAATTAAACATCTGCAGACAAATATTTGAAAACTTTAGTGCCTGTCTGCATTTTATGCAACATCTTAAACCAAGGTTGACAAAAAAATATCGTACTCTGCAAAAGTCTTGAGCCATGCCTCATTTCTTTAATTTTCACTGGAAAATGACCACCTTTATTCTCAAACACAGCCTGAACTCTCTTAGGCAGCTTTCTTGTCATTTCTTCAGGTCTTTAGGAATAGTTCTCCAGGCTTCTTGAAGGACATTCAAAGCTCTTT